GTTGTTTGGTAGTTGTTTTCAGCTTTCTTCGTATTAAAAGGGCTTCCTTTGGCACATCAGGGAAAATAGCAATATGTTCTCCATTATAAATGAAAGTATACACATATAGCTTGCCTGATGGCATCCATTTATATTTTTGGTGCAGTTCCTGCAGTTGTTTGGTAGTTGTTTTCAGCTTTCTTCGTATTAAAAGGGCTTCCTTTGGCACATCAGGGAAAATAGCAATATGTTCTCCATTATAAATGAAAGTATCTGCATTTTGTGCCTCAGACAGGACCCTTTTTCTTACCCGTATATCAGGTATTGTTACTAAGATATCTCTTGGGACATTGTTTTTCATGCTTTTTTTGGAGCCTAATCTGGCTGCTTTTGTAATGACTGGGTAAACACCCTCTTCAAGCTGTAATGCATGGGCAATAAAGGAGGCTATAAAAGTAATCAAGTCTGCTGTCCCTTCTGCCTCCTCCGGAAAACCGCGAAATTTAAGGTTAACTGACTTTTGTTCAGTCTCAACAGCAATTAAACGATCATTCACATCAGTTACATGTTCACATATAAGCTTAATATTTGCCTGATTTTCCAAGCTGTTTTCCAGCGCTGACTCAGCTTTTTCCACTGCCTGGGACACTGAAAGTTTGATGTCTTCCACATGAGTTGTAAGAGTGGATATTCGATCAATCAGGCTTGCCTCCATGGTTTTTAAATATGCTAAGATAGCCGGGTCTGAGTTTTGTTGCGTCACATTCTCCGTTGTTTTCTCCGTCGCCGCCATTTGAAGTTCCCTCTGGCCTCCGAGGCTTTTGTTCGCTTCAACACCAAAGTGCTCTTTAATGGATCGGGAAGTCCCGGAGGCAACTCTATTCTTAAGCAGATCAGATTTCCCCATACCCAGCTGAGCGCTTTTTAGCATATGTCGTCGGTAGAGAGTGTTTTAAGGACGGGTGGGTACTACGGGCTTGGGAGCTGCACAATTATGCGACCGCCATCTTCGACAGCTCCGCCACGCCCCCCTCTCCCGCTGTTTCCAATGGGCACGCCTGTCCTTCCTTTTACTACATCTGGGGATGGGGATGACTTGGGACCAATGCTCCCTCCAAGCTGTGGAGTCTTGTGAGCAAAAATTCTACTTTGTGAGCGATTGGCATTAAAGTTGTGAGCGAGTGGTTTGGCTACTGCCTAAATTAGTTTGCTCTGGACTCTGGAGCTCTCCTTCCTGAGCTCAGACAAAAATGTGTGCGCCAGAGGCTAAAAAACTGTGAGCTCGCTCACACTAACTCAGCTTAGAGGGAACACTGCTTGGGACAAAAATCATGGGGACTTTTTTTTTGCACCATTGCAGCCCCTCGGCGCAGTGGATGCATGAGTGTTTGTGTGTGTGTGTTGGTGCCTACAGACTAAGCCATGGTCTACGGCATGATGTTGGTTTTATTTATTTCATTTCAATGTAAAAAACCATATGACTCCACGAGGATCCGTTTACAGTCTCCCCGACCCTGCGGGGCCTGCAGCTTTCCCCGCCCTTCCAGGGCGAGGCCTGAGCTGCAGAACCACCCAGTCGGCGGAGCCTGGCCGGGGCACTGCCCCCATATAGGGGGTGGGGGTGGCCGGGGCCGCTTGGGTCACCTCCGCTCGGCCGGCCCTGGCCTGTCTTCGCGCGAGAGCCGCCGACATGGAGGGGATCGCCCCGGCTGCGCCTGCCCGGCTGGCGGTTCTGCTCCGACACCTCTGCCCGGACGGTGCCGCCGCCGCCGCCAGGTCTCTCGTATCCTTTTCCTGGGCAGGCTCCGGGGAGGGAGGCCGGGTAGGGGCAAGGGGGCGGTCCTCGCCTTCCCCGATTCAGGGTCGGCGAGCTTCTTTCCGGGCGGGCGGTTGTTTTCTCTCCCCGGCGAGTGCCTTGGGAAGGGCCAGGGGATCCCACTTGCAGAGTTCCTCGAGGGCCCTGAGTTGGGTTCAGATCCTGCTGGAGGCGGAGGATTCATTCAGGGGGCGCTCTGTTAAGCCTCTTGCAGGAAATGTTGGACGGGAGGCCCAGCAGCTGGGGATGCCAGCCTCCAGGTGGCACCTGGGGAATTCAATGTTCCCTCTAAGCTGTGGAGTCTTGCGAGCAAAAAGTCTCCTTTGTGAGCTGCTGGCATTAAAATGGTGAGCGAGTGATTTGGCTGCTGCGTAAATTACTTTGCTCTGGAGCCCTCCCTTCCTGAGCGAAGACGAAAATGTGTGAGCCGGAGGCTAAAAAAAACTGTGAGCTAGCTCACACTCGCTCAGCTTAGAGGGAACACTGCTGGGGGTCCCCTGGAATCACAGCTCATCTCCAGACTAGAGAGATCACAGTTTCCCCTGGAGAAAAGGGAACCTTTGGAGGGTGGACTCCGCCGCATTGTACCCCATTGAGGTCCCTGTCTTTCCCAGGCTCCATCCCCAGATCTGCAGATGTCTCCCAACCTGGAGCTGGCAACCCTACCCCCCCCCAGCCCCCACCGTGCCCACTGGGGAGCTGGCAACCCTACCAGCAGCGCCTTCAAGACCAACCAGGCTGAGTCTAGAAGTAGTTTTCCGGAGTCAGCGCTCGCTTCCTCAGATGCAGGGGAGGAGGGATTTTATTTCGCCATACATATTTTTTTGTGAGTCAAAGCTCACTTCCTACGTGATCGCCGGTTCAGGAAGGCTTGTGAGGGAATAAATGTGGTTAGCTTTCTGAATTGCTGCCGGGCTCGTATTTTAGTGGTAGCTGGGGTTTGTATGTCATAAAAGGGGGGTGGGGGGGATTTGCCTGTCTCTGGGTCCTTCAAACGCAGCAGGTAATGTGAATAAGAAAAGGCAGTGACTCCCTTCCTCTGGCCAAGACACCCAAGCAGGGACTTGTGGCTGCATATAAAGAAGGGTGCCGGGACTTGGGGGGGGGGCTGCAAAGGCTAAGCTACTGGCTTTTAGATATCAGCCCTGTGGAAGGAACATCCATCTCCTCCTGGGTTGAATCTGCCAGAGCCAGGTTCAAGCCAAGGGGCTTGGGTTGAACCCAGAAGGTGGTAGCGTGGAGCCAGGAGGGCATCTGTGTACCCCTGTCTGGGGCAACAAACTACATTGACTATTAGCAATCGTGTTGTACTACCATCACTTTTTGGCATATTGTTGTACTACCATCACTTTTTTTTTTTTTGTCTTGGTGAATGTTGTGTTACTGTCAGTGGCCAATACAAAAACTTCAGCCATGCCTTCCCCCCATCTGCTGTAGAGGAGTTGGATCATACTCAGTAGATGGGGCAGTATTTTATTTATTTTATTTTATTTTTAATTTTATTTTTATTATTTTATACAGTACAATACATACATTACATAACGCAACATACAAAAACAAAGGCGTGTAGACCGCAGAAAGATGAGAGTTATGTAACCAGCATAATTACAAGTTCTAGTAATACTGGTACTGCTCCGGCTAATTGCTATATTTACTGTACAGTGAATCTGGTGGATTGAGTGGACTTTTGTTCAGGGTGTTTGTAGCTAGTGCAATGGAGACCAAACAGTTGGAGAATATACCTAAGTATAATAATTTACCTAAGTATCCTTTACCTAATAATTAAGCAAACTCCGGAGCATGATGGAAGACAGGAGGGCCTGGCGTGATGTGGTCCATGGGGTCGCAAAGAGTGAGACTCAACTGTGCGACTCAACAACAACAACAGGAAATGGGTGGGTGTATGTTGACTGTAACTGCGTGATTTATTTATCTAGAGCTTCCATCACTTTTAGCCTCTGTGATGTTGAAAACATTTAGATTGTTGTTAGCATTATTCAAGATCTGTGCACAACAGCAAGTGTTCCGCAGGGGTAGAAAGTGATGCTGGCTACGTTGATAATTAATTAGGGGCGGTGTTGTTTCTGCACTGCTTTTAGCAGTTTCCAAAGGATGCTGGGCAGCAGTGCTATTTCCCCCCTCCCCCCGAAAATCCAGCAGAACTTGCAACTCTGCGGGATTTTTCTTCTGACCTTTGTACCTGTAACTTATGTAAGGTTGATGATGAGACTGCTGTATGCTGATTAGCTGTCCACCCCTCAAGGCTTCCTCAATCTACTTTAAAAAGTGCAAATCATTGGCAGGTGTCATTCTGCCATCTGCTCGTGTTTGTTTGAATGATGTGCCTAAATGATGAGTGTATAAAATTTTATCCTAGAATCTTCCCGCCAGCAACACCTCTGGGGGTTGTGAAAAGCTGGCTCATGCTGGGCATGCTTGCTCCAGTGGAGAAACCCCTAGGCAGAAGCTTAGGGGTGTAGCAAGAGAACGTAATAATTCCTGGGACCTTTCATTAGAAATGCTCTGGGAGCTGCAGCATGGATGAAGCTAAGCAGGTGTGATGATCAGTGTGAAAGTTCACCAGAACCCCTCAGACTGGAAATCACAGTCAAGGCAAAATACCACTTCCCAGTATACAAATGTAGATAGCTTGAAACCTTGCCCGGGGGGGGGGGGGGGGGATAGCAGGCCAGAGGTTGCCCAAACGTTCCCACTGACAAACTGGTTCCAGACTTGAGTACAGAGAGAACTATTATTTTCTGTCTGTCTGTCTCTCTGTCATCTACCTACCTACCTACCTAATATTCTAATAGTAAAGTCACTATTGACTTCAGCTTCCGAATTTGGGACAAGGGCAGCCCCATGTAGAAAGCATTACAGTAGTCTTATCTTGAGGTGACCATTGTGTGGATTACCGTTGTCAAGTCACTACATTTGAGGAAGGGAACCAACTGCCTAATCAGCCGAAGATGGTAAAAGGCTGACTTGGCAGTGGCTGCTACCTGGGCCTCCATTGTTAAGGAGCCATCCAAGAGTATTCCCAGACTCCTAACCTCCAGCTTTGGAATCAAAGGAGCCCCATTGAGGTTCAGGAGTGAGAGCCCTAACCCCGGGCCGCCACAACTTAGGCACAGAACCTCCATCTTCATCAGATTCAGTTTCAACCGACTCGGTCTAAGACATCCAGCCACAGCTTGTAATGCCAGGTCCAGATCTTCTGGCCCAGAGTCTGACTGGTCGCCCAACAACACATACAGCTGGGTGTCATCAGCATACTGGTGTTTCAACTTAACCTGCCTCACAGGATTATTGTGAGCGTAAAGGAGATAGGAATGATGCTGTGTGTGTGGTTTGAGTTTCTTGGAAGAAGGGTAAGGTACAAATAGATACCTTTGAGAGCCAGTGTGGTGTGGTTAAGAGCAGTGGACTCTAATCTAGAGAACTGTGTTTGATTCCCCACTCCTCCACAAGAACCCAGCTGGGTGACTTTGGGCCAGTCACAGTTGTCTCAAATCTCTCTCAGCCCCACCTACCTCACAAGGTGCCTGTTGTGGGGAGAGGAAGGCAAGGCGACTGTAAGCCGCTTTGAGACTCCTTAGGGTAGAGAAAAGCAGGGTATAAACACCAACTCTTCTTCTCTGGACTGTGTCCATTCTCTTCAGTTAAGCTGAAACAGCAAACAGACCTCCTGGCATTTCAGTGTTATCTTTTAAGTCCAAAGTGCTGATACAGTTAATTTAACCTAAGATAATAATGGGAAATAACTGTAATAGAATCCTTCTATACAGGGGTCTTGTTGTAGAAAAAGAGCTGCCGGAGCTCATTAGCATAACTCATTAGCATAACTTATTTGCATATGCCACGCCCCCTGACATCACCGGAAGTGACAGAAGGCCACACCCCCTGACATCACCGGAAGTGTGTCAGAAGGCCCGGCTACTTACCCTCCTGCTTCATCCTCATTCCCAAACGGAATGAGGATCGAAGCAGAGGGCGGGGTAAAGAAGGGGGCGGGGCTTCACCACGTGACCGCCCCGCCCCCTAGAGGTTCTCTTCCGGAGCTCCGTACCTGAGAGCTCCCCCCCGACTAGAGCCCTGCTTCTATATAATATAGAGGAGCTGCGGTGACTCAAGTGGTTAAGACGCTGAACTGCAGGCTGTGGAAAGTTGGTAGTTCATTAGTTCAAGACCCGAGTGTGCCGCATGACGGAGTGAGGTTCCAGCTCCTGCCAACCTAGCAGTTCGAAAGCAAGAAATTGCAAGTAGATAAATAGGTACCGCTTCAGTGGGAAGGTAACAGCGTTCTGTGCACCTTGGTGTTTAGTCATGCCGGCCACATGACCACGGAAATGTCTACGGACAGCGCTGGCTCTTTGGCTTTGAAACGGAGATGAGCACCGCAACCCTAGAGTCGGATTTGACTGGCTTTCGAGCAAGGGAACCTTTACCTTTTATATAATATAGGCCATCTTCTTCTCAATCTGTTCTGAAATTAAAACTTATCAAGAATATGTTTCTTTTTATTTCCTTAATTTACTCTCAAGACAGCATTTCCTACTTCAGCCCAAGTTGTTTCTGCAAAACACCCAGCACAGTTCCGGTATGTGATATTTTACCTTATTTCTTCTTAAATTAGAACAAAGGCAAATAGTCCTCCGACTGTTTTGTGGTGATAAGCAGGAAACCAGGAGGTACTGATTTTGATTTAGAAGTCTGGGCATAGATTGGGTGAACTCTTTGATAATGTTGAGTTCCTCGGAGTTCCTTTAATTGGAACATCTCCCTGGCAGTACAAAGCCCCAGAAGATGCTTAGCAATGCTGCATCTTGAGTTTGTGCAGGGCAGTAATGAGGCCCAAGAGGTCTTATCTGTGCTCCGCAAGTACTTACTGGACCACCATGAATGTGCCCAAGTATCTTATGCAATGCAGAAGAGTTCTGTGGAAGCCCCGGCAAGGGATCCAGAGTAGGCACATCAGTGTCGGAAGGATTCCCCAAAGGTATAATGTAGAGCTGGTAATATGAAGAGGTATGTGTTCCAAGAAAATGCCATCATCTCCCGCAAGGCCTTTGATCACTGTTCACTTAAAAATGTCATACATAAAGTTACAAATCTATAGAACTCGACAAATATACTGAAGGACCTGTGCCTTGAAACGTTTAACATTCTGAGCGGTATATAACAAACAAACAAACACTTAGGAAACATGATGCGTACAGATTGACCTGTATAAGATATTCACTCCATGCTGTGTTCTCTTATATTAACTTTGAACACAAAAGTTATAGGAGAAGACTGGGAACAGGGTGGAGTTGAACAAAATTAAATTGGGGGGACATGTTGGGAGATATATGAACAGTAATCACGGCCCGCTAAGTTGACATTGGGTAGCCATTTTCATAAAATATTAAAAACACAAAGATCTGCCTCGCAGAATTGCAAAAACCCCACAGTACTGCAATATTTATCGTCTTGGTGATAAGTACTCTCTGATAACTTGCGTAATTTTTTTTTTATCTTCATAGCTATACCTTGGATAATAACCTTTTAACCCCAGCACAGCGAAATTTCTATGAGGAGAATGGTTATCTGTTGATAAAAAATCTGGTCTCTGATGAGGACATTGCACGTTTTAGGTAAAGTACAACTACCTGGACTAACTGCATGGATTGAGATTGGCTGAAAACACACTGTTTGCATTACAGATGTCAAAAGTCCCAGTCCCAACCCCGAGTAAGGACTTTGGTGCAAGGGGAGTGCGTTGCAAAACAAAGTTACAAAGTACCAGAGAGAGTCTAAAACTCGCCCTAGTCTTGGTAGGTTGCCACCAGGTCTTTCGATCTACCCCAGCAGCCCAGGAGAGAAAGACCAAGCCTCCTGGCTTCTTACTTAACTTAACAAGAAAAGTCAGCCCTGCAGAGTGGGACTGCAGTCTGAGTTTCCAAGACAAAACAGTTAACTGGTAGGCAGTCAAGAGCCAAGGCTCTGGATTAAGGGTTTGAGGTTGATTTAAGGCAAAAACCAAGACAGAGTGAAAAATATATTTATTTAAGGTGCAAAAATATTTAAAACAAGACTAGACAGTGAAGGAATAAAACAGGTAAACCTAAGCTTTTCCAGCATAGCTAAACACAGGGCTATTTTTGGGCAGGAACACACAGGAACGGAGTTCTGGCTGGCTCCCGAGTTGGCCACGCCCAGCAGGAACTCATTAGCATAATAGGCCACACCCAACAGCAGAAACTCATTAGGACTGGCTACATTAGGGGTGTGTGGCCTAACATGCAAAGGAGTTCCTGCTATAAAAAAGCCCTGGGTTTCGACAACAAACAAGGTAAACAGAATAAGAAGCAAAAGGTGGGTGTGGCTGGATGAGCACACTTCTGGTAACATGGGGGTGTGGCCTAATATGCTAATGAGCTGTGCTGTCAGGGGTGTGTCCTAATAAGCAAATGAATTTCTCCTGTTGGGTGTGGCCTATTATGCTAATGAGTTCCTGCTGGGCTTTTTCTACCAAAAAAGCCCTGGCTAAACATACAGAAACAAGGTTCCTGTTACTATTCCAGTTTCAGCAGAGGCAGTCAGTTCCAGCAAGACAAGAGGTTCACAACTTTAGCCAGTCTAGGTAGGAATCAGTCAGGATGCAATTCTGGAAGCTCTGGGGCTATTGACATAATGGCATGTCAAATCGTCTCAAGCTTCACTAGCCATAGTGTTAAGGGCTAACGGGATTGATAGGAAAAGGGTCTCTGACTGGTCTTAGGCCTTTAGGCCAATCAGATACCCGAGAGGCAGGGGTCATTTGGGGGGGGACGCGGGGGGACGCCATCCTCCCGGGTGAGGTGCGGGAGGGCGGGGCCTGGAGCTCCCTGCTGGTGCCTGCTGGAGGTCGCCGCGGACTGTGGGGAGGAGGCGGGGCGCGCTGCGTTGGGCGCGGACGAGTGAGCAGGTTTCCCAGCTGCCTCCCGGCTTCGCCTTTCCCGTCACGCTCGGTGCAGCAAGCGGGCGGCTGAGCGTGGGGGACACCTTAGGAATGGGAACCCCAGTGATGTCAGGGGGCGTGGCCTTATGACACACTTCCGGTGATGTCAGGGGGTGTGGCATATGCTAATGAGTTGTGCTAATGAGTCCCCCTAGCTCTTTTTCTACGAAATGACCCCTGCCGAGAGGTGATGTAACTCTCTGAGTTCCTAGGCACGTGACATCCTAGGATGGACAAGAGCAAGAGGGAGAGAAACGATACCATGCTGCTGCTAGGCCTGTCCCTGCCCCCACACAGGTGCTAATCGGAGCGTCGAGGGCGGTTGGTACTACCCTCTGCTGAAAACAGTGTAGCTCTGGCAAGGTCACCATGCTATCTCTAACGGTCTCTGGGAAAGGTCTTGCAGGCCTTTGGGCAGCCTGAACCAAAGTTTTTATTTTACAGAACAGAGCAAGGAGCCATTTTTCTTTACAACAGAGATCGGCTGTCCCCCCCCCCCCCCCCCCGTTTTAAAATCAGTTTGCCATTTGACAGAGGCTGCACATAACCTTGTTTCCACATGCAGGAAACAGCAACAGGGAAAAGACATGTGTAGTAGTATTAGAACCAGTGTTCCCTCTAAGCTGAGTTAGTGTGAGCTAGCTCACAGTTTTTTTAGCCTCTGGCTCACACACTTTTGTCTTAGCACAGGAAGGAGGGCTCCAGAGCAAACTAATGGATGCAGTAGCCAAATCGCTCGCTCACAACTTTAAGGCCAGTAGCTCACAAAGTAGAATTTTTGCTCACAAGACTCCACAGCTTAGAGGGAACATTGATTAGAACCGACCTAAATATTGCAAAACAGCATACAAGCTTTCAGTTAACTAGAACTCTCCTTCAGACTAAATATTTGGTACAAAAAAAGGGATGGGGGATGTTTCAAGACAACATGGTGAAGCCCAAAGTCTTCAATGGTAGCCTTAAAATGGGAACTGTTTGGTACAGGAGTTGGGCAAAAGCTTCCCCAACCATAGAGTAAGCTGCGTGGATCTCTTGATCCTAAGCACTGAGTTAGAATTTTCAGTGTTTAAAGCACTCGTTTTCATTCTTAAGTGCCACACAGTAGTTCAAAGTCTGCCAATCACAACCTTCTGTTTAGAGATGAGTTTGCACGAATCTGCAGAGGAGAGGTGAAAGTGCCGGGAATGGTTGTCATGAGAGATATCACAATCGCCAAGTCAGAGTTTGTTTCAGATGAGAAAGCAGTTACAAAACTACAGGACTTTCAGGATGACGAAGAACTGTTTAGATACTGCAGCCTGCCTCAGGTAAAAAAAAAATGTCCTGAAGTTCACCTGTGTCTGCATTATATGTGAGGTCGTGAATAACGTCTTCAAACTAATTCAAAAGGGTGTCCTCTATAGGTTAGTAGGTAGATGTGCTGGACCGTGGTCATCTGGAGAACTTCATGGCTGGGTGGGGACTGGCGTCCAGATCTCTCTAGTTCTACTGGAGCTCTAACCCCACTCGTTCTATAGCAGGTTTCCTAGTCATGGTGCCCATGGGAATACATGGTGCCCACAGACACCAGCCCTGAAGCCTGCCAGATGTTTTTAGAAAGTGGGCCAGGGGCAAGTGGGCTTCTGGTTGGCTGTGCACATTTTTAAGAAGTTGCTTCAGCAGCAGCCGCCAGTTTGGTGTAGTGGTTAAGTGCACGGACTCTAATCTGGGAGAACTGGGTTTGATTCCCCACTCCTCCACTTGCACCTGCTGATGTGACCTTGGGTCAGTCACAAGCTCCGGCACAGCTGTCCTTGAAAAAGAGCAGTTTGTGTCAGAGTTCTCTCAGCCCCACCCACCTCACAGGGTGTCTGTTGTGGGGAGGGGAAGGGAAAGGAGTTTGTAAGCCGCTCTGAGACTCCAAGTGAAGGGCGGGGTATAAATCCAA